TCTGTGTTAATTGTCCGCCTTAATTTAACAATGAAAACTTGCCGAAAGTCCCTCCCCTTCCGCTACGTAGTCAAAATGGCGTCCGTTTAGTGCGAGTAGTGTCCATCATTCTGCACTGCGTTTTCTGGCCGTTTTCAGTGCACCATCCGGGTACTTTCAGTGCACTGAATTTTGGCTTTGTTGTCAGTGTGAACGCCCTAAAATCGCGCACTAAAAGTGCGCGATTTCGGACACACCCATAGCCTATTCTTTCGCGCGAAAGGGAAACACACTGACGTCACATACGGGGCACGAGGCTACATTGCGCATGTCATGAAGCGTCGAACCGTGCGACGCATGCACGCTCCGAACTGAGACAAGCGAACCGAACGTTTTTTTTTCATGAACCGTGCCATACCTAACATGTGCTGTAGTAAACAACCAGGTCTAAATAAAGGCACGGACAAGTATGGGCAGTGTAAGGTACACAGACAGAATCGGAGGATGAAAACGACACGATGGGAAACGTTTAACCAGAAGCAGGCCAGAACCAGAAACCATTCACAGGTACTCAGAAGATGATGGCCGTTTATACAACCCGAAGTCAGTTTGTCTGAAGATCGTGATGTTTTGGACGTGGTTCAGCAGCTAAAGGTGACATGCCCTTCCTGTGAGGCGACGCGTGCAATATTTACGTCATGAAGATTCACGACAGGGCCGGCCTTTACTCACTGAGGAACATGCGGCCACAGTCCATGCAGAATTCAATCAACCCCCAGCCCCCCCCCACCCCCACACTGAGGTTAAAAAACAACGGAGTTAGTGGGTTGGACATACCATGATGAAGAGTGAAAGCAGAAGTCCAGAGCGCTCTGATCACAGGACGAGAGCTGCACGTTTTGACACCGCACTTCCTGCCTCCACATTCCTGCCTTCCAGGCCACATGGAGCGCAATACGTCACTTCCTGTTCAGCGTCACAGACATCCTGTGATATCGAAACTGGCCCATGTCACCTGCTGCTATCACAGATGCATTTAATGGTCCCGTGCCCCAAGAGAGGAGTTTATAAGGCTGTTCAGATTGACTGCAAGAAGAATATGGTAATAAACACTGTATCAGGTCCCATAACGGGGTGCCAGCCTCCTTGAGACTCAGTAAAAGGGAGCTGGCCCACTGGAAACCAGCAAACCCTCCCAGATTGTCCTTATGGTTAACCGATCTGTCTCAATTTAAACAATTAGAAAAGATTCTTCTCTATTTGGGGCCCGATTTTATCTTACTTGGGTAAGATTAAAACTATGTCCACTATTCCATAATGGTAGTCCTTTTTTTTTGGTGGGGGGATGTTCCTGGCTTACTGTTTACAGTACTTTTGCTCTTTTTCAGATTCTTTAAATGTATAAGAAGATATTGGAGAAGTTTATCTCCTGCATCCACTTGATATTTATGTATGTATTGTATTATGTATATGTGTGACTATAAGTTGGCAGTTGATACATACAGGCCAACAATGTACATGGTCATTTATTTCTGTAATCTTCTACTAGTTTTTGTTTTTTTGTTCTCAATGTTCCATGTGAGTGAACCCAATGTTGGGGGGTGGGGGTTTGTTCATTGTTAAAGGGAAAAATGGGGAAATGTCTGCCATTTGTTCATTGTATTCAATCTTTTTTATTGACATTTCCAATGAAAATATTTATAATAAAAAAAAAGGGGAACCAGACTCCTCGGGGCCCGTAACGGGGGGCCGGTTTCCTCGGGGCCCCGTAAAAGGGGGCAGACTACCTCTGGAACCAGTAACGGGCACTGACAAAACGGCCAGAACCAAAGGATATTGAACCTTTGGTTAATTACACCCTCTCTGGTAAAAGCTGAAAGCTGCCTTTTATGCAGTGTGTCTCTGCATCAGGTCCTGGCTCTGCTCTGCATTTGCGAATGAACACACAGCTGCCACTCATTAATGACATCATCATTTTAGAGAATATGCACACACATGTGGAATGTCATGCACAGGAACGCAGAAAACAGCTCTGGAAATGTGTTAAAATTCACAGCAGGTTGTTTAATGGGAAATGATTTACACGGTGAAGATGTTTGTCAGACCAATTCTAGAAGATGACGGACGAGCACTTTAGACTGATGCAACTATGTGCAACTACTGCATATGTGAACTAAAGTTCACTGTGAAACCAAATTTCAAGTAATAATTAGGCTGAACTGGGGTACTTATAGGAACAATCAGTATCATAAGTAGGAGGGTTAGACTCACACAGGAAATCTTATGGCAAATATCTATATTATACCATTATAAATGTAAAACTAGCTGTATTTACACGGTTAAAAACAGAAGCAGACTATTTACAAGGTAAGAACTGTAACATATGTGTGCAGACATCTCGAATTGAAAATCTCACTCCAGCCAGTTGGCCGAAGTTGGCAACCCCGCGTTATAAATCAAATGTAAAATGCGCTGTTTTCGCCTGAAACGGATCGTCATTCCGTTTGCGTTATTACTCTGACAAATATAAAACGAATATGAGAAAAACACGTCACGTTTTTACATCTTTTTGAAATAATACGACCGTTCATATCCTACTCTAACAGCGATTAAAGTGATAAGTTCGTATGTATTTATATTAAAACGAGACTTTAATTTTATTACCGGTGTGGGATTATAGAAAACCAATACTTAAATCCATGAACACTAAAATATATGACATAGACACTACTGTATTAGGGTTTTACGGCTTAAGTTAAGCACTTTTTTTAAACATGCACAATTTTCACCTTTTATTTTCTCTTATTTTGAAATGCAGCCCTACCTTTATTTAGTAGATGTTGATACAACTAATAGGCTACTTAAATATATTTCACACTAAATAGTTATAGACATTATGGTCTTCCGAACCTTTGCTTCAAGAAATTTCCTCTAACTCAGGGGTGCCCAAACATTTTCCCTTAGTGGGCCAAAATGAAAATCTATCGGAGGACCGCGGGCCAAATGTAATATTTTACACAAAATACAAACACTAATAGTAAAGTAAAGTACTTTTATTTATCAAACAGTTATCTAACCTTCCTTTCTGTGTAAATAACATTAAACAAAATATGACAAATAAGTCCTATATAGGCATTTAGAGCACGTCTAAACTTTTGTAATCACATGTAGTGCAAAATGTCAAAGAGTGCATGTCCAACAGCAACACAACAACAGTAGCAACAATATAATTGCACCACTAGTGAGAAACATGAAGCTGTTCTTTGGCGTTTATCAGCCTATCAATATTAGGTTGCAGCTGACTCACTGAGAGGCTGAGGATGTCCTGTAGGTGTGGGTCAGTCTGAGTGCTTCTGAGCCTGAACTTGTTAAGGTTCATTACACTAAAAGTCTGTTCACAGATGTAAGTGCTGCCAAACAAAGTGCGGCAGCAAAGACTCATGGGACTTTTTGTAAATTGTTAAAATATGACTATTTATGAAGTGTGGAAATGTACATATGTGCACAGATATACTCTACATTACCCTTATAGTTGCTTGTATTTCAATTTTAGTCTTAGATATTTCAAATGTAATCAAAGCACCATGAGTGAGGACTGTATAATATACAGTCGAACCCACTTATCTCGACCTTGGCCAACTCGCCAACCCTAGTAAATCGACGTTTTTGAAGTGGAACCGCCAAATTCCCTTATTGCAATAGTATTTCTCATCGGTTATGTCGATTCTTTTATGTCGCCGAGCCCTAATATCTCGAGCACGAAAGAGGGCCAAAATCGCCACTTAACATCGGTTATCTCGATCCCCGTGACTAATCGCCGGCTTTTTAAAATGTATCACAAGTGCTAAACAGCGCGTATTCAAATCGCATTCGCATGGTAATTCGCTGAACAACGCAGGTGAAACGCGATCTAGGTAAATCCCCATCAAAACCAAAGCCAAGCATATCTGCATGCGGCAATGACAACTAAGATGAAGAAGATGCGGACGAAGATTTGGAACCAATTCCCTCTGCCGGTGAGGTGATACAAATGCTACAAAAAATTCGACAGTATGGTTCTTTTGTAGGGGATGGAATGTTTTAGACAGCATAAATAATATCGAAGCATTTGTTTTCAAGCAGATTGTTAAAGGCAAAAAGCAACAAAGCATTTTAGACATTGTAAAGAAACCATATTAACTGCGTGTATGATACATTTCAGAGCTGTCAGAGCGAAATGACTTGTGAATGTAATTTTGACACTGCAGATTTGCTTTTTGTAACAACGGACTACACCCCGCAGGTTTTTTTGTGAGCGATCTTTGTGTTTGCAATGTTGGATAATATAATTAAAGGTTTGTATCGAGAATCGACGGTGGTTTTTATTGTATACTGGTAAATCTCCGCTTTTAGTTGGTGCACATATGCCTTTTGTTGTTAGCCGACATGCATGTGCATTTTTATAGCATGCCGATCGCGTCATCAAACAAATCACGGCAACGCCAAAAACCCGTGCATGTACATTCTAATTTATTTTAGATATTCATTGGCGGGCCAATCTAAATAGTACGGCGGGCCAACCTTGGCCCGCGGGCCCCACTTTGGGCACCCCTGCTCTAACTGATCATGATGCCTGCCTTACGCGAACTACATTAGTTCTGACTGGATCTAGTCTCTGGCAAACATGTTCGTCTCGTTTTTATTCGTTCACGAAATTGTCAATACACTAACATAGTCTTAGGTGTCACAAAATCATTTTTATTTAGTTATCGTCTCGTTTTAGTCTGAAAATAAAGGTCGTTGACGATAACTCTGACGAAAATTTTTCGTCAAAAAAGGAGCTGATCGATTGTTCTGTCTGAAATTGTATTTTTTTTAAAGGCAGAACCCATCCTCCCAGTACTTCGCTATCAGCCTTGGTTATGTGCCACTGACTTCCTGTGGCAGACTGGCATGAGAAGGGGACCAGCGCGGGTCTCGGGCACCTGTCAGTGGCAGCAGATTTATTCCCTCACAAGCCTCCAATTCATTCATTAATTCATTCACATTGGCGCCGTGCCGGAACAACCTCGTTAGCGGACCGCATCTGATGGCGCACTGTGACAGGGAGCCGGACCACTGTGACATGCATATAGAGTGCGGCGCAGCGTGAGTAAAAACCCTGGACAAACGTCTTAAGCGCTTTCCTGTCCTGTAGGTGTCGAGCCCCCCCTCCCTTAAGCAAACCTGTCCTGCGTGTTTAGCTGCGACATGACAAGAGGAGCGCGTTAACGCAGCACTGTGCTGCACGGGATGTCAGACGCAGGACGACCAGCCAGCACAGACTGTGTCCATAGCCTTCCAGACGCCCAGGTTGCTGTTGGTCTGCGATGCCCCACGTCCGAGGGGGTGGGCAGTCTGTTGTAGAGGATTTTTACCATGCAACTGATTCGCAACAGAACAAACTATTTACACCACTATAAACACTCAACAGCCTCTATGCTCCATGATTACCATAATAAGAAAAAGCAATTTCCTTCGGAATTAATAAAGTTTTCTGATACTGATAATAGCTATGTTAGCTCTGGACAAAAAGGTGCTTGTGCGGTGGGGAGGGGCTAGGGGGTCAGGTGACCGTGACGGTTTGAATTGATTGGTTCCACCAGTCCCTGGTCACAGGGTGCCTATATATTTGGAAATTCCCCATCTCACGAGTCCATTTCTCACTTTCCCACACTGCCGTTAAAGATTCTTTTTAAATGCACCAGGTTGGGGCCGAATGCCATATTGCAACAGCGTCTTTCGGCAAGATACTCTTTCGGCACACTGGCCAGAGGGCTTGTTTTGCAGGGGGTCCCAGTGGTGCAGCTGAGCGCCCCTGTGCTCTAATGAGCTTGATGATTAACAGCATTCTGTGACAGTCCTCCAAGGGCACAGAGTCACACCCTCAATGTGGACGCTGATTAGCCTTTGACTTATACGTTACTTATATGTTACACATTACGTGTTAATACATCACTCACCATCTCCCGCCAATGCTGCATTTTCTGACATTGACTGAGACTGCGCTGGGACACGGTGCTGAATTCGCACAACAATGGACACCAGCAGAGCACAACGGAGGAAACACCAAGATTGACAGAGACGTCCGGAACTTAAAATCGCAGAGGAGCTTAGAAGGGAAACGCAGCCTCGTTATCTACAGCATGCAGACAGAGAGCAGCCAACAGAGCTAGCATGAAAAACCACGAGAGCAGAGGAGTAAGGCAGAGCACAAAATGGCCACCCTATACACGACACTAAGCCACGGATCCAAGCGGAAAGACCTGCCGCGCTACAAACGGGCAGAAGAAGCAGGCAGGCCAAGAACACACCACATCTAACAGGAAACACTCAGATGCTCAGCTCAG